GTAAGTAAGACTTGACACAGTTACACCACTGCTATTCATTAAGCAGCACACTGTATCTCGTAAGTGTGTGTTTAATTCAGTGATGAATTAAATCACTTTTGTTTTCCCTCTGAAGAGTTGACTAGTCAGAAACTCTGTCAACAGTATGTATATAATTAGGCATTTAGAATGAATGGAAAATTTTTTGAGTATACATGATGAAAAACTAGAAGTAATAATAACAGCGGACAATATATTCTCACAGTGGTTTACGGAAACGACTATCTCACGTTTGAGATCCTCCCTACCTACCAAGGTTTGTGTATTCAGGTAGTATCAATAGCCCTTACACACTATAGGTGTAGCTCCTTGCTGCCTACTGTACGAATGTGTACAAGGTTGCCAAATGTTTCTCGTGCGTTCGTTTCACGTCTTTTTATCTTGTTTTTCATAACCCACGGTTATTTGAGGTTTCACTCTAATTTTCAGTTCAACACCAGGTTCCGAGCGAGTCTTCAGTCCCAACACAAACCTAGTGGATAGGTCTCTTCACGGAGCAGGAGACATCCAAGAGAAGTGTTCACATGAGAAAGAACACTCCTGTCATAGCATTCTGATAGTGCTTCTTCTTCAAATTGTTCAGTGTTATCGCAGAACCCTACCAACTTTCAGGCTTCAACGCATCCACGTCCGCCGGGTAATCGGCTCCTTGACCGTACTTAACTTCCTGTGGATAGACGTGCATGGGATGCGTCTCACTGAACTCTCTACAGCCTTTCAAACTGAAGTCCAGCTCGTCTTCACCTAAAGACTCCTCCGGAAGGTGTGTCCCATAACGCTAACAGATTCGCAGCGGTGGTTCACTTCGGGCTTACAAAATGCAACCAAGGTTAGAAATAACGAAACCGGTACTCCGACTTGCATATCGCTCACCTTCGCGTCTCTGTGCATTGCTTCAACAACAGTGACTACCGGAATTACGAGGCTGGACTCAGCTTACCTTTCGGCTGCACTACTGCCAGCCCACTGACCAGAATTCTAACAGCTAACAACCATCCATGATTTGGAAATCGGCTCCACTGATCTTGCGCATATTGATCTTATCGACTGTACTTTTTGCTGAGTCAGTTTGACAGTGTATTTGTTGATATCCATTGAAGCAATGAGGAGAATCACTATCGTACACAACAAAACTTGACCCAAAATCCCGTCCACACGGTTTTCATGAGCCGGTAAATGTCACCTTTAGAACTTGTCCTAGTAGATATCTTCATTGGTTGTCTATAGAAGGTGCACGTGAGTTCAATCATCAGAGACACAACGAATTACCGCAGGTAGGCTCACAGTACATTTGTTGTTTTAATGATATGAAACATGCAAATAAGTAGCTTGATAAGCCCAATGAGGCTCATACTACCATCAAATTTACGATGGAATATAAGCATGAAAATAAGTTGGGTTCCTTGACTTCAACGTGAGAAGAAGAACTGATGGTTAGATTGAAAGGACCATCCACAAGGAAGACACATGGACCAGACAATACCTTAACTATAACAGTTTCGTCCTGCCACCTATAAGCGTGGGCTAGTCAAAGCACTTTACAACAGAGCTTGGATATTATGTTCTGCGAACAACTTTGGGGAAGAAATAAACACTACTGACCAGTTGTAATTCATCAGTTGGAGGAACATTGGAAACCTGGGAGCAATGGACAACTGTATCGTTCTTGTATGGTACTCCTCAACAATGCGCACCCATGAGCACACCTCACCGGGAATCGAACCGAGAACCTTCAGGTCCCGCTGCCAGCACGTTACCTTTGAACCACCGGTGGGGTGGGGTCATGGGTGCGCACTGTTGAGGAGTCGTACACAAGAATGAAACAGTTTTCCAGTACTCCCAGGTTTTCAATGTCCCTCCAACTTATATCCACCTATGATGAATACCAACCTGAAATAAGAAGGATATCGGAGAATTCCACTCATATGAACTCAATAAAATTCTCTATAGAAATGAGGAATGAATTAGGGAAACTACCTATATTAGGCTATGAAATCAAGAGATCAATAGGTGGTAACTTTACAACAAGGCTATATAGAAAACTAATACATTCTGGAAAGTTTCTGAATTACCACTCAGCCCACTGAATCACATTAAAATGAGTCTGGCAGAAAGAATAACAATATGCTCTGATGACCAAGGAAAAGAAATTAATGTCATTGTCCAAGATGGTACTAAGGAATGAACAACCAAGAGGCAGAAATAAATGTCAACAAGAGGAGTTATTCAGAAAGATAACTACAAGAAGTCAGTAGTATTATCATACAGGAAAGATACATATTAAAGGCAATTAGAAGAAACTTTAGAAAGGCTGATATTTTTACAGCATATAAAGTAATAAATTTGATAAAAAATAAATTGAGCCAACTTAAAGATTCAGTTCAAAAATTAGACAAGAATAATATGGTATAAAAAGTACCATGTAGGGTAAATATCAATATCGTTGAAAACGATACAGAATGAACATTAAACATTAATCTATAGGTCACCCCATAGAGGGATAAAAGTAAAAGAACTTAGAAGAAAATTCGTTGATATTAGCTCATTCATGAGACGAAAACTATAATATCGATTGGAATAATACAATCAACAAAACTGTCAACCGTATAGAACATTATTGCTATTTAGTATAACTACTTGTATTATACCGTCGTTGATTGGACCAAGATGATCGATCTCTATTGGTATATGGGCTCGTGTATGGATGCCTTGATATTACCTGTGTTCTAATTGTAGTAATGATGGATAGTGGTTAGCAGTGGAATCAAGAATGCGTATTTCTTCTAAATTGGTACTCGTTAGTTGGATGTACCTGACCCTCAATGAGCGGTGTTGTTGGCATACGAGTCCATATGCCAACAGAGGTCGATCAACTCCATCGAGTATAAGAACACAGAATTAAAAGTACATCAACAAGAGATGGCTACTGGATAACGCTATGGCATTTGAAGCAATGCGTAAGAGATTCGAGTCCCAATGGGAACCACACCATTCACTGGGTTAAATGAAGGTACATCCGTCCGACAATTCCCAAATAGGAAAAAACACGCTTCTTCGATTCCCTGTCAGCCACAAACAATTATAATACTGTAATACATATGGAAAATTGTTATAAAAAAACAGATTAACGAAAAATATATTGTTTGTCCCTTGGATTCCAAATGGAAAGTAGGGCTTCAGTAGCACGTCTACACTGCACGCGGTTCTCTAAACTTTTTTGAACATACTTCCACGACAGCCCACAAGATCTCATTTCTTCCTCACATCATCTCCATGTCACCCTCATCTAGGACGCCCAACACGTCGTTCCCCTTCGGATTCCACTAGAGGACCTGGCCTAGCCTGGCGCGTGATGTCCCCAGTCAGTCTTCTCAGTGGATGCCCAATCCATCTCTACTTTCTTCCACTGCATATTCTTTCAGTGATAGGTTCTTGGTTGGTTTGTTCCCACAGTTTCTTCTTGCTTATTCTTATTATTCTGGCCATCTCAGCTTCAGTAACGAGCCAGCGTAGGCAGTAGTTGTTGAATGTCTGCAGTTTGTTGAAAATGCTTTTCGTAACGCACTTAGTCTCTCAACCATCACATGGAAGCACTGATTTGACTGAATTGGTGTTGAGAATCTGGATGTTGTTCACGCTTTATGCTGAGTGCAGTGCAGAAGATCTCCACACTGGTTTCAGGTTAATGAACACATGTCTTGCTGTCTTTCCGATCCTGGTTGGCTTTGACATTCTCGTCTGTGCCTGTGCCACAGCCTGTAGTTGAAATGATGCTGCCTATGTATGTGGATAGGTGAAAGAGGCTACTTCCTTTAAGTTTCTCCCGTAGATGATGATTGGTGTTTGTTGTTGTTGGTGGTGGTGGTGTTGGTTGGGTATCTTCATCACTCTGCCTTCTCTATATTCACTTGAAGTCTCGTCTTCGCTGCCTCGCCTCTTCTGACAACTTGTTAGTTTTCGACTGTAGATCTTCAAGTTTGTGTGACATGAGACACAAGTCATCATCGATGAAATCCAAGTCTTGTAGGTTCTTTTCCGCGGTCCAGCCAGCGTATCTCCCTCTTCTCGCTCCTTACAGTTTTCTGCTGCATGATCCAGTCGACCACTGTCAGGAATATCATGGGTGATAGTAAACAGCCTTTTTGCACTCCTGTCTTCACTTCACTGCAAAGGCATAACTGAGCTTCCCATTGTGAATTACTTGGCATGTGACGTCTTCATATAGTTATTGAATGAGGTTAATGAAGGTTTGTGGTATTCCGTAATGTTGAAGCAGTTGCGTGACAAATTACTTGTCGGTCGACGCTGTCGAAAGTAATTTCAAATTGGATGAAGCTGAGTTAGAGTTGAGTTGACTGGCATTGTATACTGTATTCTATCATGATGCGCAGCGTAGTGTTGCAATTTGGTGCGCACATGATTTGTACTTCCTGAAATCAACCAGTCACCCTGTTCCGGTAATAATTTTGAATCCAGCGCATCCCCGAGTCTCTCCAGGATGATGCGGCTTAATATTTTGCCTCGGGTGGACAGCAGCATGATTCCGAGCCAATTCTTTCGAAGGCTTAGGTCTCCCTTCTTTGGGAGTTTGACAAGGTAGCCCTTCTTCCAACTAGTCAGCAGGTATCTTTCCTTCCTTCCAGACCTTCTACAATAGTGGTGTGAGCATATCCGCTGTTGTCCTTGCATCTGCTATCAATTCTACTGTGTGTGTATTATTTTTTGCTGAAAAATCAAACATTTCCTGTTGAAATATTTATTTTATCTTCTGATACGTTTAGGCGATTTGAATATGCTAAGTTAGCAGTTGAATCATCTTAACGGAACTATCATCGCTAATCTTCGTCGGTCTTCTATTCTCCCGCCTCATCCTGCTGCTGCTCGTGTTAAGTATACTACTAAAGAGAATATAATTCCAAGCACTAAGTATCATACAATCAATAAAAATAATAATCAACCTTATGAATTTTGACAATAAATTACACAAATATTGTGATAAAATACAATCAGGAAGTAATGTACAACAAATGAAGAAAACTACAAAACTGATGCCTCATTCCAAGCTACCAATAAATCCGATTATCAAAATGAAACAACAATCAAAAAATGGTATTATGGTGGGTTATTTACTGGTCGATAATTTACTTACGATCAACAGTACTACTAGTAGTATTAGTAGTAGTAGTATTTATTACCATGTTCTTTGTTTTGAATATGCCGTACTGTTAAGTTATTTAAATAGGTATAACTTTTTTAATTGTTGTTTAGTTGTTCTTGGGTAATTTTTTTTCTTTACTTGGATCACTACTCACTTAGATATTCTGAACACGCTACTGAAAAATAATTGAAACCATTCAGTTTAATCTGTAGATTTTCCTAGACAACTAGGTCAGAATAATCTGGAAATATTATTATTATTATTTATTATTAGTCCCTTGGGTTCCTAGTGGAACATAGGGCTTCAGTAGCACGTCTACAGTGACCTCTGTTCTCTGAGATCTTTTCAACCTGGTTCCATGACAGCCCACAACCTCTCATTGCCTCCTCGCACGATCTCCTCCATGTCATCCTCACCTCGGACGAACAACTCGTCGCTTCCCATGGGGATTCCACTCGAGGGCCTGACGCGTGATGTCCTCAGTCGGCCTTCTTAGTGCATGCTCAATCCATCTCCACTTCCTCCTGCATATTGTTGAGTGATAGGTTCTTGGTTGGTTCGTTCCCAGAGCTCCTTGTTGCTTATTCTTTCTGGCCATCTGATCTTCAGTAGCAAGCCAGCGTAAGCAGTTGTTGATGAATATGTGTAGTTTATTGGAAATCCCTTTCGTGACGCGCCAAGTCTTTGAGCCATACAGAAGCACTGACTTGACTGGGTGGGTGTTGAAAATCCGTATCTTGTTCCACATGCTGAGTGCAGAAAATCATCTGGAAATATTGATTAGCAAAATCATATGCTTCAGACGATTGTCATTAGGCTGAAAAAAAGCACATGAAGCTGAAAAGAAAGAAATCCATTGAAGTTCACAACAGGTAACAAGACAGTTGGAGTATCATCATTATATTAGGTAAAAGAAATTCGTTATCATAAGAATGGCATAAGAATTAACCAACCTCGGAAATGTTTACCAACCCCTGGAAAACTAAAGAATCTAGTGAAAATCAGATGGATTAGTAAGTGAGAACACTGACAGATGAAGATAAATACCTCAATCCTATCGAGGTTATACAGTCGACCTAGAAACCATAAGATATTCCACTACAACCAATAGTTTCACTAACTGGGACACCTTTATCCAATATCAGTTTTGACTAGCTGAGATATCTGTGGTTTAACAAATTTACATTGAAACTAAGTGATGATTGAAGGTGAAATAAAATTCCAAGCTGCTGTAGAAAGTTAACTTCTGTGTTACCAAGCAGGTAGCATAAATGAGTAAGGCGTCTATCGAATGTTATTAAAACAAACTATATAATAATTTTGTAGAATATTTTTTGAGAAAAATAAAATAATATAACCAACACTACTTATCTGAGGTTCATGTTGGCCTATATAACACTCAAGATAATTGTTTACCTCTAAAAGAAGGATACTAATAAGCAGTCTCAATTTCTAAGTAGAATTTAGAAATTCTCGTGTCTTCCCTGAAATGACTTTACAGTACATATTAATTCCCATTTTTTACTCCTTAGAATGATATTCTAAACCAGCTGTCATCTGATTGGTCAGTTGAGACTGAAGTAAACTTAAATATGATTGGTTATCACTGGGGCTTAGTTGAACCTCAGATGGTAAGCAATATACCTGTCAAGTCAGTATATCCTAAAGCCTATCAATCAAATTCACAATGCTAAAACTAAGCTCAGTTATGTCATACTGCTGTGCATTATATTTTTGTGTTAAAGCAAGTATTACGGTGTCAGTAGACAGGAAACCCTGTCTAGCCTAACTTTTATGCTTGTTAACACTCATATCTTCAGCTTTCACCACCGACTATTGCTTGAGCTTGTTGTTCATTTAAGTTGCTTTCCTTCTTCATCGTGGCCAAAACCAGCTCCAATCAGTCTTCTTGCGTCGGTCAGTTCTGATGACCTTCGTGTGTAGGTTACCCACTATCTTTACTGCTATTTCTACAGTAGACCTAATGTTACACCAGGTTTTTTCAGGACGAGCATTGCTATCATGTTCAGATACGTACTTGTTGTCCTCATCTTCCGCTCGAGCGTAGACAAGCTTTGCTGAGAACAGCAATCCGTAGAGATACACGAGCTCATGTCAGGGCGTAATTGGAGTTCAACCAGCTACTCCAGAAACAAAAATAATCTTCCATCATTCCCTTTCAACTATGGCTGGCTTATAGTAATGTGATTTGTCTGTGTCCATTGTTAGTTCGATATTAGTGTACACCAAGTGAAAGTATCTTTCTTTATGTCTGAAGTTAGTACTGACCGGAAACAAATTATTGTTAGAACAAAATTGTAACAAACGATCACCGTTGTCGCTTCGACGGCACAGGATTCCTTTCCAAAGGTCTCAGCTTCCCAACTTAAGAGTTAAAGTTATCTTCTATTATAACTATATTTCAGTGTTTTTCTTTCTGTTGTAAGACTAATAATCTTTCATAGAACAGAGTGGAGTGGTTCCATTAACTATTATACTGCTGCAGTTCGCTATGTATTAATTCCATTCTACAACCAGTAACGTCCCATTAGCTCATTTATAGACAGAAAGAGAGAAAACATAGGTATGTTCACCTAGATCATAATGAATGACACGGTGTTTGACGGAATAGGCAATAGCCTAGTAGATAGTTCTCTGACATTTCAAGCAACGAGTTTCGGGTTAGAGTCATAATGAGAAGAACATAACTCACTGGAAGCCAAGTACATCAAACTGACGATGGAGTCCTAAACGGACTCTACTACTATCCACTATTTATCAATAACACGAGATGCAAAGTACCGTTATTACCGAGGCATCTGTACCTTAACCCATATACAGATAGTGGTCGGTTAACTATATAGAATCAATGATGGGGTGTACAAAGTGTAAGCAGCCTAGTCAGACTGTTAACGAATGAGAAAAGAAGATAGTGAAGTTTAAATCAAATTGATAATCAATACATTGCTCAGCCTCTTAAATTCAGTTCGATTTGGATTTGGATGAGAAGTTCCATCTGAGAGGCAGTCACTGTGAGTACAGTCAAAACTTCATATGGAAGTTAGGCAAAACTCTTGAAGGGAAATTAAGATCTGGTCAGAAGGTGGGTTCCATAACTTTAGAGTACTAGACTGACAACCTGAAGGTTTCTGGTTCGAATCCTGCCCGCTGCCTAGGTTTTCATTTCATCTTCAATCATCACCCAACTTTATTTTGTTGTTGTTACTTTTATTACTATTAACCAACAATATAACTGCATCCTAAACATTTTCCCAAATAAATCCTACTCCAGCTTGTATAATACAACTATTTGTATCATAGCCGAATTATATTACAAAAAGTTGGGCTAAATTTATCGACTCACCACTTTTAAATTTCTGCCTTCCGTTTTGGAGGCAACTTTGATTGGTTGATCTGTGACCTTGAAAAGGTTAGTCAATGTATGTGAGTTTAGCGCGTTATTTTCTCATTCAACTTTGTATCAATTTTAGAAATCTACTAACTCCATTACTTATAGCCTTCATGAAATAATTACTATCTCATAGTAGACAATGATTGTAATAAGGAACTTTCTAACTATTGCCCGAAGTTGTCAAACTATGAATTCTCAATAATGAAACAGCAGTCAAGCAGTTCTATCAACGAGAACATTTATATCTGTATATCCATGATATTTAAGTGTAAACTGATATCCAGATAAGTTCATCTACTACATTGGTCCTAAAAGAGAACTAATAACAGTGAAAAAGAAGTCTTAGCTTTATGGGATTACAATTCAACGGAGATATTGCAAGTGACATTCTATCACAACGCCTAACTAGGTCAGTCAATAGGACGTTTTAGCAGGTCAGCTTTGCATATTATTCAGTAATCAGTCAATGTTCAATTTCAGACTAAAGGATAGCCTACCTAATCTTAGCTCTTCATCTTGCATAATAACAGTTTAACTGTTCCTGTGGAACTAGTTACATAGGGCATACAATTAGGTAGATGCCTCTTCAGATACAAGAGCATTTACTTACTTGGTTCGGAAAGGGCAAAGTGATAGTGGTGAAAAATTCAATCCTAGCGCATCTAGTCAACGCAAGCCATCATACAGATGTTAATAAAGCTTTGAATGTCATTCATCATGTTCCATAAACGACACCATATGTAGCTTTCCAACGCCAACTTAACATAGCGGAGGCTGTCACAATAAAATTGATTAAACCTAAAGTCTGCAGTCAGAAAGAACATGTCCAAGCGTTACTTCTCCCCTGGCCTACAGTAAACTAAAGTTAATGTAATGACATCAATTGGAGGGAAATTGGAAATCTGCTATCACTGGAAAGGTGTTTCGTCTTTATATGGGACTCGTTAGCAGTGCGCATTAATGGCCCCATCCTCCCACAGATCTAGTGCTTATTGGTGACTAGCTTCTATAGTTGATTCCCGAAGTTCCAATGAGAAGTCGTGACCAGTTGGGCGAACCGGGTGGACGTGAGGAGAAATACTCAACGATGACAATGAGTAATGGTAGTGCTATATCGTGAAATATGGACCATCAGATTCAAACCCACTGGCTAGCTCAATGATAACGTTCTGACCATGGAACCTGAATGTCCTGGGTTCGACCTCTGGTGGGTGTAGTCATGGTTGCGCGCTGCTGAAGAGCCCCGTACCGAGACGAAGCAGATGTCCAGGTTTCCAATGTTCCTCCAATTGATATCTGTCCATGATGAATACCAGCTTGAAATCAATAAATCCCCACAAACCCCCAAATTGAATACGGTGATCTCTTCCAAGATAATATTTGGAGACTTATCATAACATATACATAAATAAGGAAGCTACAGTAACACATGTCCCATTGATACTGCAGATATACGACATAACCAACATTAGGACAGTTTACAGATATTAGAAAACCTAAGCAAAACAGAAAAGTGCTTACACTTGATATTCATTCTGCTTCAATGTAACCAGTGTCCTCACAACGGGGAAAACTCATTACCTTAGCCTTACCTTAACCTGTCAGTTGAGAAATACGTATTCTTCGACACTTATACTTGAACTTACCATCACAACTTTAAGTCCACGATGGCTTACACATACAATAACCTTGTTGTACATACAAAGATAACTTTAAAATTGCAATAAACTTCACATAGTTTCTGTCTCCCTCTACAAAAGGCTATTTTAGCATCATCTAGGATCTTCTGAACGCTCTGAGCAGAAATCTGAGTATTCTTGTCAAATGTAACATAATGCTTCAGGACTGGTCTGCAATTAGTTCCAGTTTAATAGTAAGGAGTAAAATCGTGGAATATGTCGACTATTTCACTTACTCGGGGAGTTGTACCACCCCTAACAGGTTAGTTGCAGACGAAATTTCAGCTTACATACCGAAGACATGTTTGGTACTTGTCAACTTGAGTCACCTCTGATGTCGGTGAGATATCTTACTATCTATCAAAGGACGAGTATATTGCGCTGCAGTTCATTCCGTCTTATTGTACTGCTGTGGGATATGGACGTTAAAAGAAGACATGAAGCGGTTGAAGACTTTTGAATCACCATGTGAGTAATATTGAGATCAGTCAGGCGAAAGGTAATGAGCAAGAAAGGCAAGTGAACTGATTAGTTTGTGAATTTTCATCGACTGAGATGACATGGCCATGTAACGCGTATGCTTAGCCACCATCTACCTCAAGCTGGATGAGACTGGAAGAGCGTTCAGGGTATCAAGATCAAAATGTGGCATCCGTCGATGAAGTCTGTGACTGCTGATCTGAGTTGTGCGAGGTGATTTGGACGCCAGGTTGAATATTTTCATTAACCTTCATCTTCAGACTGTTTCTCTTACACAACTTCGTCTACTTTGATAACACTCTTTTTATATCAACCTGTTCTTTGTGTAGTACTGTGAAGTATGGTAACTTGAGCTAATTCACCTATGTACGAGGTCCAACGTTGATTTTATCTATGTCTATCTGTCTATGAGTAGATAACCATTGTATTGCAATCTACATACATGTAGTGAACTTCTTTACCTGTTATTCAAACCTCAAAACGACTGAACAGCTACGCTTAGCATAGTTAACTGGGGTGGCTTTCAGAGTCACTTAAAAGTATTTTTTCGAAAAAAAGTAATAATAATTTTTATTCATTTTAATTTCAGAATTCTAATCAACTTCAACAAAAGTCGAACACAGTTGAATCATTTCATCGAACAGTCTCGAATAAATCCTGTCGTTTACAAGATTTATGCAGTGAAGATCGTCGTAAATTAACGACACTAATTATGAAATTAGCTGAAGCACAAGAAGACTTGAAAAGAATGAATAGAAAATTTGAAAACAATCTATAAACAGTATTACCAATAATGATTATGATAATAATACTAAAGTCGTGAACTCCAGTCCTTTGGTAGATAATGAACACAAAAGCAATACACATTCTAGAGTTGAAGAATATACAACACATTTTTCAAAAGCAGAACAATTAATTGTAAGTTAACCGTATACTTTCTGTTGATATGTATTTAACTCTTCCTCTGAGTCATTTTAAAGGTCATCACATTACCTTCAGGAATGACCAATCAGACTTCTTTATTTTAGTTGAACAGTAGTTGTCCTTTTTCTTAAAATTAAAAACAAAATTCTGATTGGTTTATTTTAATCATTGCTAGGATGACCTTCAAAGTCACTGATGCAACAATTTATTGCTCAACTATTTTTCACTCACAACTTTCAAGACACTTCACTAGAACATCTCCACTTTATTCTCCTCTACGCAGTCTTCCAACCTATATCCATGACTGCCCAGAAACTTTCATCGCGTCCTCACACCATCTCATCAGTGTCACCCTCCAACCAACAACTCGTCCTTCCCCATGCGGCTCCCACTTGACAGCCTAACCTAGCCTGGAGCGTGATGTCCCTAAACAGTCTTCTCTGTGTGCATGCCCCATCCAATCCATTTCCACCTTCTCCTTCTCATGCAGATTTCATGCGTGATATCTTCTTGCTTCCTTGGTCGGTTTGTTACCATGCCACACTTCCTCCTTGCTTATTCTTCCTCACCTTCTCATCTGATATTCAGTATGGAGTAGGTGTAGGTGGTAGCTGCTGCTGATGATGCATATCTACAGTTTCTTCGAAATGCTCTTCGTAACACACAAAATCTCTCAACCATCACATCGAAGCCCTGACTTACTTGACTGAACTAGTGTTGAAAATCTGCATCTTGTTCTACATGCTAAATGGAGTACAGTAGATCTTCACATCGATTTCAGGTTAATGAAGGCCATCTTGCTATCTTTCCGATCCTGTCTTTCATATACTCATCTGTGCCGCCACCTGTGGTTGAAACAGTGCTGCCTACGTAGGTAGGCAGGTAGGTGAAGGATACAACTTCCTTTACATTTCTCCCGTCCTTGGTGATTGATGCATGTTGTTGTTGTTGTTGGTCGGGCATCTACATCACCTCTGTCTTCTTCACGTTCATCTGAAGGAAGTTCTATCTTCGCTGCCTCGCTCCACCTCTTCTGTCAACTTATTAGTTTCCGCCTGTAGACCTTCTAGTTTGTGCAACATGACACATTAGACATAAATCAACATGGGCGAAATCCAAATCTCCTAAGTTCTTTTCATCGGTCAAGCAGTGTATTTCCATTTTCTCGCTCCTCACAGTTTGTTGCATGGTCTAGTTTAGTCGACTTCAATCAGGAAGATGATCGGTGATAGTAGGTGGCAACCTTGTCCTACTCCCGTCTTCACTTTAAAGGCATCACTGAGCTTTCCATTGTGAATCACTTGACATTTAGCATTATCATATAGGAAATAGCTGTTGAATCAGGTTGATAAAGGTTTGTGTCACTAGAAACGTAGCGTTGAAGCAGCTCCCGAGTTACTTCTCGATCGACGCCTCGATCAAACCCCTTTCGAAAATCAATGAAGTCAAGATTGAGTTGACTCCCATTCTATGCTCTGTTCTATGTAGATGTCCAGCGTAGAGTTGCAATTTGATCCGCACATGATTCGTTCTTCCTGAAACCAGCCAGCTTGTTCGGGTTGTAGTTTTGAATGCAGAGCACTTTTTAGTCTCTCCAGGATGATGCGATAGTGTTGTATGTCCGCTGTTGTCTCTACGTCTGTTCTCAGTGCTTCTAGAGGAATTCCATCTGATCCTGCCACTTTCCCACATTTCAGTAAATTTACGGCAGTCAGGACTTCACTTATGCTTTTGTCAGAGGGTTTTTGTTCACTGATAGTTCCATAGCTGGGTTGCTAATGGTATTTCTGGACGAGTTGCAGATGGTGGTCAACTCAAGAGTTTTTTGAAGTGGTCAGCGCATCGTTTTCTTCTCTTCTCCCCTCCGCTGGTAACTAGCTTTCCTTCACTATCTTTCATTGGTTTTATCTGCGTTATCCTCTTCCTTCTCAGATAGTAACCCGGTTATTTGATATAATGTGATCGGATCTGTGTCTCTCCTACCTCCAGCCTATTCTGCTTCACTTATAAGTGTGTCGTAGAAGTGTCTTTTGTCTTCCCACGCACTCTTCTTCCCTTCTTTGTCCAGTGTTTGATAGGTTGCGGTCAGTTCCTCTTTTCGTTGTTCACCCCTGCACTGCACTGGTTCATCTTCTGCTTCACCATCTTCCTCTCCCTCCTCTATCAGTTTCCATGTGTCCGTCAAGATCCATTCCATGTCTTACCTCTTCTTCTTCCTTTCTATCACAGTTATGCAGGTTTCTTTCCACATCTCTTTCAAAGACTTCCAGTGTTCTTCCAAGCAGATTTCTGCACGAATTTTGATCACTGTCTCCCATTTCTTCCCGATGGCTGATGTGAAGGCGTCCTTTGTAGTTTTGTCCTTCAGCTTCTGGGTGTTGAACTTGAACTGTGGTCTATCATCGCCAGCTTCTTAGAGGGCTTTCAAACTGATTTTCAAGGTACGTTCCTTGCACCAGATAGTGAGTGATCTTAACCTACATCTGCTCCTCTTCTTAATCTTGTATCCAGTAGTCTGCGTCTGTACTTTCTTAAGATTGAGATGAAATCGATCTGATTTTTAGTGTGTCCATCTGGTGAAATCTATGTCACTTCGTGAATATCCTTGTGTTTGATCTCACTGTCTCCAATCACCAAATCATTAAAGGCTTCCCAACCACATACAGAACAAAAGGTTCGCTGCTTATTGTCCGTATACACTACTGACGGTCTGAGTCATCTGTATATACACAACTGATTACCTGATCACAACGCACCATAATTTATAAAAATGGAACAATTTCATGCACAGAAAATGAGATAATTCTCCACAGTAATGGATTTCAGACAATTATTTCTGAACTATATTTCATGCAGAAATGAATGAGGAGTCAATTAAAAGCTCTTCAGTCGAGGTATACAATAGTGTTACCAATGAAGTCATGAGTAAAGTCATTTTTAAAATAAACAAAGTAATACAGTCAGGGGGATAACTTTGATGGGTTTTGTGTTCTTTAAGCTGGATCGCTTATTTATGGAGTTTACTTTGTCACTCCAGACGAAATCATCAGCATAAACTTCAGAAAGTAGTGAGCGATAACGTGTTTAGCCAGTCCTGGTGGCCTTGTGTGTGATTGGTTGTTTCTGATAAGGTCTTGTCCTTATCTAAATGTTTGTTTTGATTGGTCGTCCCCATGACCTAAAATTTGACCTTCTTCTTGTTTCCTATTGATTGGTGGATTGTGTCAACGTTAATTTGTCCATCGCTTGCTGACTGACCTGAATATCAAGCTTCTAAAAATTTCCTGACATTCTTTATATTTTCTCTATCCAGAATTTTCACATTTCTTCAATCAAATTCATGTCTACGGTGAAGATATGTCATGACGCTTCTCAACAGGCTATGTTATGTGGGCTAAAAGATATAATAGAAAACGAAGACAAACCAAACATTATTTACAAAATAATCTGTATAAACTACATCGCCCTCTTCGCATCCCTCTACATAAACATCAACTGGAAGTTAAGCGTCATGACATATCTTCGCTCATATTAATACATTCAGATAACTGTGGACATGAATTCGACTGGAAAAATGTGGAAATCCTGGTTAGAAGAAATATAAAGAATTTCAGAGAATCTTCAAAAGCTTGCCATATTGACAATGATCCAATCTATCAACCAATAAGGAACAACAGGAAGGTCAACTTTTAAGTCATCAGGACAACCAATCAAATCAAACATTAAGACAAGGACAAGAACTTGGTGAAAACAACCAATCACAAACGAGGACATCAGGACAAGCTACCAAATAAATTGGGGAGAAAACCTTATTGATCACTACTCCCTAAGTTTGTGCTGATGACGTTGTGTAGAATGACAATGAAAACTCCATGAATAAACAACCCAGCTCAGAGAACACAACATTATCAGAAAGTAATACACAACTAGTGACACTTCTTATCTGAGATTTAAGTTTGTCACCTTTTGACAAATATAAAACACTTCAACAATGAATTGTATAAAGATATGCTTCTTGAAAAGAAAATGAATGTTCTCAATATCTTGATGAGGGCTGACAAAATCGAAACCCAGGCGAACTATGGTTTGCTGTTGTTACACAGCATTTGACATCAAATACCAAATTGGAAAAACAAAACATCCTACTTCAGTTTCACCTATTTTGCGCTTTTTGACTACTATTAGTAGCTTATTCAGTGGCATCTTCGCTTACAACTGAAACATCACGTACATTTGATAGTAATGATGGATAGTGCCTAGCAGGGAATCCAGGATGCGCACTTCGTCCTATTTGGGACTCGTTAGCTGGATATGCCTGCTTCCCAGTGACTGATGTTGTTCCCACCGGGATTTGGACTCGGGAGCGATCACTTCAAACGCCAGAGCGTTATCCACTACACTACCAAGCCACAATAGACACTTCTTGTGCAACGAGTGTAGTTTTTAGTATATAATTGTTCTTATATCATACCTTCGTTGATTGGGAAGCAGGTACATCCAGCTGATGAGTCTCAAATAGGACGAATTGAGCATCCTGGATTCCACTGCTAGCCACCATCCATCAATACTATCATAATAGCACAGGTAATATCGAGGCATTCGCATAGGATCCCATTTGCCAATAGAGATTGATGAATTTGGTCCAATCAACGACGGTACGATATAAAAACAAGTATATATTATGTACATTTGATACTAATCTATTCTGATTAATATTTTCTTTTACAATCCCCTAATGAATATTTACCTGATGTTCTCTTCGATCTTTTTTGTCCACGTTCATCAAAGATTTTCTATCAGACAAAATTAAAGGAGTTAGAAAGTGAATTAAGTGAATTACGTGACAATTTCAAAGGAGAACATTTCCAACAACATTCTGAAAATGATCTATTCATGAAACAGTCTGTTGAAATAGTTCCATCTGTGATAAATGATGGTAAGCTTGTAATAATGTCATAACGATCATATTTATTCTAGTCTCTGTGTTCTCTTCATGCGTATATGTTTAAATATACTTACAACAAAAACAGTACGAAGGCGTAGTTTATTTGAAATGTATATAACGTATTGTCAGCGCAGTACATTCACAATAGTTTGGTCCCCCATACACCTACATGTTATACATATTTCTATAAATTATCATAGAGGATAAATAGTTTTAAAAGATAGTCAATGTATAATACATAGTCGAAGTGTTGCCTTGAGGGTTAAGCAATGCATGGAAAACAGGAAGATAGTATATTAATCATTCTTGGTATCAATCTTAAGTGTCACCTAATATTAGCAATGATTTGGGGATGACTCTGAAAGGGCAACTTTAAAGGCCATCCTGGTAACTGTTAAAACAACCAATCAAGTTTCCATTTTCCAAGTAGATATGCAGTTTTTCATGAGATACAGAAGCCTAATTGATTATCTTTGAAGTTGCTAGGGCGATCTTTAAAGTCACCGCTCTGAAAGCTACTGAAATAAACAATCAGATTCCTATATTGGTTGCTAGCAATGACTTCACAATCAGTTCTAAATTTTCTCTTACCTATGATACTGTAGCAACTAATGAAATAATCCATCAGGTGAAAACTAACTTTACAACTGAAACAAACCGATCTAGTCGATTATCCCTTTAGTTACTAAGCTAACCCTCACAGTCACTTCATTCCCTGATTCTCATGTATTTAATCCTTCATAGATGAATAGTTTAAAAGTGTAAGCGTCATACAACACCACAAGACCCATACTTGGAGTTATAAAAAACTAGAGGAGACACTTAACCCTGGAAAACTGGTAGCATACGGCATAGTCAATAAACTTTAATTCGTGAATGCCAAAAAGACATAGAACACTTGTTACTGACACGAATAAAGCTTATAAAACTAGTATATCTGTCTTCCGGTAAACATCTCTAAAGCATCGGATGTTTAAATTTCTGCTTAATTTAATCCATAGTTCTTTCCAACTACTACAAAGACTTTGAGGTTTATGGTGGTTTAATTTCTGGATCGTATTCACCAAGGAGAGACATCATTTCGAGGGGGGGGGACATTGAGGAGACTTATACGACCCTACCAGGATTGAGGTGAGAAACTGTTGAGTGTTGAAATTCAAACTTGTGTGTGAATGGTTAACGCGTTAGCCATGAGACATGAATATCCTGAGTTCAAGCCCTAGTGGAGTCATTGGCACTTACTACCGAGAAGACCTATTCTAGAACAAAACAGCTATACAGTATTCCTCTCAGATTCTTTAATGGTTCTCCAAATGATGTCAGTCAGTGATGAGTACTACCTTTTCGAAGATGTTGTATGTGTACTACCCATAACTGGAACAATCTGTCAAGTATGAACTTCTATTTTCTAATGACTAAATGGAATTTAAGCATTTGAAAGACATGAAACAGTTATTTCTCTTTATCATAAATTAAGACAAGACAATTAGAAGACGTTGTTTATCTCATATATATATATATATATATATATATATATATATATATATATATATATATATATATATATATGAAGGTACCCAACCAACAACAAGCACCCATCACCATGAACAGGAGAAACCTAAAGGAAGTAATCTCTTTCACCCACTCACCTACCTACCTACCTACCTACCACCCCACACCTACCTACCTACCTACCTACCTACCTACACACCTACACACCTACCTACCTACCACCCCACACCTACCTACCTACCTACCTGCCTACCACCCCACACCTACCTACCTACCTACACACCTACACACCTACCTACCTACACACCCACACACCTACCTACCTACCTATCTACACACCTACACACCTACCACCCCACACCTACCTACCTACCCCCCACCCCACACATACCTAACTACCTACCACCCCACACCTACCTACCTACCTACCTACCTACCTACCTACCTACCTACCTACCTACCTACCTACCTACCTACCTACCTACCTACCTACCTACCTACCTACCTAACTACCTAACTACCTACCTACACACCTACACACCTACCTACCTACCTACCACCCCACACCTACCTACCTACCTACACACCTACACACCTACCTACCACCCCACACCTACCTACCTACAACCCACACCTACCTACCTACACACCTACCTAGGCAACATCGTTTCAACTACAGGCATCACAGAAACACACATGGATGCAAAAACCACGATCGGAAAAACAACAAGACAAGACTTCCTCAATTTATCTGAAATAATCAGTGTGCAGATCTACTCAACGCCAATCACCACAAACCATCAACAACATCCACATTCTCAACATCAATTCAGTCAAGTAAGTCAGTGCTTCCATGTGATGCTTCAGAAAGTTGGCGTGTCATGGAAAGCACTTCCACTTCCAACAAACTACACACAGCCATCATCAACAACTGCTGTCCACGCTCACTCGATACTGAAGATGAGATCAGATGGGTAGAATAATAAGAATAAGCAAGAAGGAAGTCTGGGTGGTTGGCTGTCAACGAACCAACGAAGCAGGAACCTATCACCCAACAAATATGCAGAAGTAGAAAGTGTAGATGGATTGTATTGTGCATACAGTGAGAAGACCGATTGAGGACATAATGCGGCAGGCTTTGCCAGGTGGTCTAGTGTAATCCATAGGTGAAATGCCGAGTTTGGCATTTGAGGTGATGGTGTTATGGAGGAGATGATGTGAGTAAGAAATGAAAGGCTCCTAGACATGCTCATAACTTGTCGAAAAATGAGTCTATAAAATGAACCATATATGGAAAATCTATATGGACATGACAGTACTACAAAGCACATACGTGAAAGCCGAGAACAATAAATCAAATCGAATATCGCCACTGACCCAGGTAATAGATGTTCAACTTATTTTTTAACTGAGTATATCACTGAAATAGATCATGAAGCTGATTTGTGTACATCTTTTAAGCCTGTTAAAGACATAAACTTATGTTTATTCCAGCTTCAACCATAAGAAGGTTTTGACCTCTGATCTCTGACAGGGCCATAGGTGCCCATTGATGAGGAGCCCCATACTAGGACAAAACAGCTGTCCATTGCTCTCAGATTTCCAATGTTCTTTCAACTGGTATCAGTCCATGATGAATACCAACGTTAAATCAATGAAGTCTCACAAACCTCAAAATTGAATTGATCGAGTGAGAAGTCGTGTCCTATAGGGTGAACCTGGTGGACGTGACGACAAATACACAACGGCAACATTGCGTGATAGTTTTCAAGTGATAGAAGTTAGAAATATGGAATGTTGGATACCGACTCAGTGGTTAGCTCAAAGGTAGCGTACTTGGTACGAAACCCGAAGGTCCCGGGTTCGATCCCTGGACGGGTGAAGTCATGGATCCACACTTCTGAGGAGTTTCGTACCGCGATGAAACAGGTGTGCAATGCTCCTCCATGATTAATACAAACTCGAAATGAGTAAATCTCTCACAAACCTCCAAAGTGAATCTGTCTTTTTTCTTTTCCTATTTTAACTAACAGTTTGTCTATGTTTTGTTTTTCTTGAAGTTCATATATTGTTTGTAATATTTCATACACATAATCTAACCCATCACTCATGAATCAGATAAACTCCGTTTTCTTACTGTTATGTTGAAGCTTATAATGAGGATTAGTTGTCCAAAGTATATGTAGCTTCAAGCTGGTATTCATTACAGATTGACACTAGTTGGACAGCAATAGGCAGGTGTTTTGCCCTAGTGTGCGACTCCTCAACAGTACACACTGACGTTCCTTTATGGGATAAAAAATACTACATGCTATATAGCAGTACTATCCCATTATCATAAGTTCTCTGTCACTTATCTCAACTGTAGTCTCGAATAACACAACTTTGAATATATACGTATGTTTGTTCCTATTGATGACTTTTCAGCTGGATATACCGGCATCCTAGTCAGTGATATTGAGCTTACTTCGACTTGAAGCCGGTACCTAACACTTCAAACAACAAAGTGTTGTCTACTGGGCTACTGAGTCATGCGATCAACTTCTTGTCCAAGAAATATCACTTGTTATTCATTTCTTATCGATTGGACTGTATCAATCATTCTGTGATTATATATATATATAAGTTCTTTTAACGGACACTTCTATGTTGTTCTAAGTTTCATCTTGATTTCAAGATGATATTCGTCAAGGACTGAAATTATTTGGAGAACCATTGGGAACCTGGAAGCACTGAACACCTGTTGCATCTTATTATGGGACTTTTCAGCAGTCAACTCTCTACCTCAGCTTCATCCACTTTGAAAAGGCTTTTGACAGCGTCGACCGACAAGTAATTTGGCAGTTGCTTCAACACTACGGAATACCACAAACCTTTATCAATCTCATTCAACAACTACATGAAGACGACACATGCCAAGTAATTCACAATGCAAAGCTCAGTTATGCTTTTGAAGTGAAGATAGGAGTAAGAAAAGATAATGTTGCCTAGTATTACCCATGGTATTCTTGACAGTGGTCGACTGGATCATGCAGCAGACAACTGTGAGGAGCTGTGAGAAGAGGAGGATACGCCGGGCTGCGGAAAAAATCCTAGAAGATTTGGATTTCACCGATGATGAATTGTGTCTGATGTCACACAAACTTGAAGATCGACAGGCAAAATCCAACAAGTTGTCAGAAGAGGCGAGGCAGCGAAGACGAGACTTCAAGTGAATATAGAGAAGACAGAGGTGATGAAGATACCCAACCAACACCACCACCACCAACAAGAACAACAACAAACACATACCACCATCAACGGGAGAAAATTAAGGGAAGTAGCCTCTTTCACCTACCCACATACATAGGCAGCATCGTTTCAACTACAGGCTGTGGCATAGGCACAGACGAGGATGTCAAAGCCAACCAGGATCGGAAAGACAGCAAGACATGTGTTCATCAACCTGAAACCAGTGTGGAGATCTTCTGCACTGCACGCAGCATAAAGCGTGAACAACATCCAGATTCTCAACACCAATTCAGTCGAATCAGTGCTTCCATGTGATGGTTG